CGTAGGTGTCGCAATTTTGTCCAGTCCGCCCGAGAAGATAATTACTGATAAGCGCCTAGAGGATCCGAGAAATGATGCTTTGATGCCGCCCATAAACAACGGGCCAAGAAACAATTCGAGAATCCGAGAACCGGTGAACACTCGTGCGAAGCTGCAGAAGATCTTGAAAGAGATTGACAACGAGGTGCAGGAGCAGTCCGTGATCGTGAAACTCGGTGACGCTTCCATCGCGGCCCCCTTCACCAGCAAAATGTCGTCCATTCAATGCAGTAAGAATCATTTGGACATCGATCAAATTGATTTGTTGTTGACTCGAAAATACAAGTGTTCTCGTCTACTTGCAGTATGTCACGTGATCAAGCAGGGACGCTGCACTCTGGTCACCACTCTACAGATGTTCAAAATACTGGCGCTGAACGCACTGATACTCGCGTACAGCCAGTCGGTGCTCTACCTGGACGGGATCAAATTCAGCGACGCGCAGGCGACTTTCCAGGGTGTCGTTCTAGCGGCGTGTTTCCTCTTTATCTCACGATCGAAACCGCTGAAAACTCTGTCGCAGCAAAGACCGCTGCCAAATATCTTCAATTTGTACACCATCGCAACTGTATTATTGCAGTTTGCCGTACATTTCTCCTGCCTTGTTTACTTGGTGAAAGAAGCTACCATTTTGTCTCCAAAGTAAGTTGTGTCAGTTAGAATTGAATCACTCGACCGCGCTCTTTAAATTACCTCTTTTACAGGGACGATAAATTGGCAGCCATCCTGAACACTTCCAAAGAAGTGGGAACAGATGATAGCAGCGAGGAAGAACCCTTTGAGGCAAATTTAATTAACAGTACTGTGTACATAATCACGCTGTTTCTTCAGGTTTCTACTTTTGCTATAAATTATCGAGTAAGTTGTCAATTTACATTCTGTTATCTAGCTGGTAATGTTATATCGTTATACAATAAATAAATGCTAATTATGTCACGCTCTGACAGGGCCATCCATATATGGAAAGTTTGATACAAAACAAAGCTGTTTTAATGAGTCTCGTGTGCAATTATGTCGTTATTCTATTACTGGCTTGTGGAATCTTGCCGGATTTGGCGGCGCATTTCGAGCTTGTAGACTTTCCAGTCCAAGTAAGTTTTACGTAATGCGCGTATATATGACTAAGCTTAATGCTATCTATTCATTCTCTCCCGTTGAATCTCTTTGTCACATATATTACTAATGTACCATTGCGTGTTGCAGTTCCGTACGACGCTGGTTCAAATACTAGTCATGGATTTTACCTTCGCGTTTATAGTCGACAGAGCTTGCCTGTGGCTCTTTGGCGAAGGAAGACAACACAAACTGTGATGAAATTATCTTTTATCAATTACAGACTGTATCAAAGATTTTTCTATGTAACTTTTGTTACTGATCTTGTTCCACGTTAAGAGCTGACAATTTTTTATATTTAAGAATCGATAATGTACCTGTGAATACACATGTATTATTTGTCTCCAAGCGCATTTTACGTCGATAAGTTTTCCCTTTTCTTTTTTTTTTCGTTTTCTCTATTCGTTTGTTGTGTATGGAAATGTAATGTGAAAATATAAATATGTGCATACAATCATCCACTCGCCTAATTGCTCACTCTATGCTGTCAACTTTTTCTCCGTGGAACAAGAAACAGCGTTCTGGCGATCATTTGTTAATTGTCGATGAAAAATATTGACAATGTTCGATAGTCATCATTGTCGATAATTGTCTCGATAATCAAATCAGTATTGCCTGTATATATTTATTGATGATGCATATAACAAAATTTCGTGGACATTTTTAACATTTCATTAACATAATAACAAATATTGATCGCTCGAGGAAGGACACGCGTACACGTGTACATAACTTGTAGATAAACGATTCTAATTTTTTTCACAGTGGAATACTCGCACTTGGCGCAAGTTCTGAACACAGATATATTACATAGACATATGAGTTTATATATAGATTTATATAAATTTATATATTGTAGATATATTTTATATACAGACGCGCACAGAACACTCACGGGGTTGTAACTCGTTTGTCATTGAAACAAACGAAACGTGAAATGTTTACGCGAATGACTTTCTAATGCGATATCGAATTACGATTTTACGTATGTAGTTTTATACTTCAATTACATTCCACATTCCATCACATTTTACATGTTGCGATATTGTTAGGATCTCGCACATTTGTTCGAATTAAGCATATTTATGCGAATATTTACTTCTCAGATTTCGTTAGCGATGTGTAATTTAATCTCATATTTCATTTTCATGATCTGTCAAGAGATCTGCGGAGAAATAAAATGAAAGTGTAAATTTCGTTTATTCGCATCATAAATCGAATTAAGGCATAGTTGTATTATTGTACATTTATAAAACTAATAAAAAAAATGTTCATTCAATATAATTATTGAAATCGTTTTTCCAATTGATATATTAACATAACACGCATTATAGTTAAAATTTAGAAAACGCGAAAAGAAATCAACTTGATTGATGTAGTTTATTCGATTTGTGTTTAAATGCTGAAGAGATTTGCCGCAGGGAAAAGTTATATTGATGTTGCAAGGAGAGAATTATTTACGATCATTCGCCATATTCACCGGGGTTATCATTTTTGATTCTAGGGTCGACAGATTCGCGTTTGAGCATTCAAAACTGCTCAATTGCGAAATAATCCTTACAGTTCCAATTTCGTAGATGCAATCATTTTGAACTAATATAACGAAAAATTTTTTTTCGCGATACACATCGCGAAATAAATTTATTTCCGCCGCGCAGATTCGATAGTCTTCGAATATCTTCGAAGATGTCGAAGATTTTCATTTCGGGATTTATAGCTTAATAAATAACTATTTAATATTTCACCAACTGTAATTAACTTTTCTACATTGGTACGCGCAAATATTGAATATTATACAAAGCACTTATTAATATAGAATAAAAAGAGAAAATTCAGCGATTGACGGCTCTATATTATTGCACGGTATACACATAAAATTAATTTATGTTTTAATCATTTTAATGTATAAAATGTAGAAAAAAAAGAATTCAATTGATTTCTCTCATCATTGTGACGTCACAGAGACCTAACATGGCTGTGGAGAGCAGAAAGGAGTCTTAGGGACTCGTAACTACGAGAGCAAAGGTCCCTCAGTTAGTCTCTTGATCGATAACGCTTAAATCGTGCCGCGCCTCGGTCGTATTACTGTCAATGGCGCCTTTTTTTAGCACGCGCGATTTGTGTCTCGCGATGTAATCATATAGTCGCTGCTACACGCTCAAGTCTCAACGCTGTCGAGCCACACTCAGTCGATCGCGGTCGTCGCTTACGGACGTGTGTCGGTGTGTTCCACCTCGCCGCCTCCATCCGTGCACGATAACCAGTCGACGATGTCCACGCGTACTTGAAAGACGAGAAGCGATAGAGAGCATATGTCACCGTCGTTGGGGCATACTGGGAACGTTTACTTTTGGCGTCATCGCGCGGTGAAACCTCGCGCCATGTGTCTCGTGAGGAATCGAACGGTCAAAGGTTCCCGACTGGAATCTATCGCGTGAGATTGGATATTCAGTCGGCAAATTTTCAGAGAATATAGTTCGAAATATTTTCGCATTCCTGCGACACCCTTATTGCTCCTATTCGTCTGACGAGACAACGGAGGTCTACAGAAAATTACACTGACGACGTGATTCTCAAATGATCAATGAAAAAGGATCTGGAACTTGAACGGAAGAACAACAGAGAAAGCGAGAGAGAGAGATAACGAAAAAATATAAGGACAGAAAAGACATTGATATTGTTGGACTTCAACATTCTTTGTTGTTTGCTGTTTCGAAGGAAAACGCTGCTTTCAAAAGCACCGCCACATAGCAGTGCGCGGTGCGCCTGTACCCGGTACAACAGAAATCTAGAATTGGACTGGAATGAAATAACTCCGAGTTTTAATTTTCGCTCCAAGGTTAGTCATCAATAATTTTAAGTATTCTGAAAAAGAAATCGGATAAAATATTTGCTTTCAATTTAAACGAATAAAATGTTTCTTTTATTAAGATGAAGAAAGAAAATTAAGGAAAGAACACAAGATCGTTTTTTTTTTTTCGGGATTCTTTCAGTGTCCGTGTACGGCATTTAGCGCTGAATGTTAATGTAGGTTTAATTTTCCTCTTCCTACCAAACCGGTTCGATGTGCGATTCAGATATATGTGTTTTTGTCAGCCATTCTCTCAACCTGCGCGCGAATTAGATCCAGATTGTTACAATATAGTTTGTGAGACGCGCTGCGAGAACGAATATAGTCTCCTTGAAAATTCTTCGGTAAAAATAGGACGATTGAATTTTAGACACGCTGCTCATTACGTGACGTGCTTTTGAGTGTACGCGCATCCAAGACAGACAGCTATATAATCTGCTCCGTTCTCCGAACACGTGGTTTTCGCCGAAGGCAAAAGAGTTTTCCTCCTTTAATTCGCAAAAATCATTAATTTGTGTTTGCGCAAAAGAAGACAGCTTGAACGAGAGAAATTTGAAAAGGAAAGTCCGTCGTGAAAGCGAAAGAGTAAACAGATGTTTTTACATTTTACACAGCTCTTACCGATCGCCGATTAAGCATCGTCCGTGCATCGCTATTTTATTTTAATTATATACTTAACATTCCTCGAGAGTTTGCTGCGGGACATTTTCGCGAATGCCCATGCGAATCGTGACTAGGTGTAACAAAAATATAAGGTATGACTTAATATAACGGTAGGCGTGTATCATCCGTCGACGACTGCCTCGTGCGCGGTCGTAATGGTCGGTAAACGCTGATTATCCACTGCCGATGCGATTAATTATACTCGTCTGGCGCGTATTAAAAGTATATAATCATGAAGCAAAAAGGCTTATCGATCTTATAAAACGGAATTGAAAATTCCAAATTTGATATGGAATCCTTGATACAAATTCTGAACTAAAATCTCTTTGTTTACGGCTCTGTCTATTGACCATTATCGAATTCTATTATCTTGACGTTGATAGACACGACTTGTTGGACTTTACATAAAACGATAACGCGCAGTACAATCGTATTTCCTCACCAAAGATTTTTCGATCTAAACCGTCACGTTCACGAGTTGTCATATATTTTATCTAATTTCGCGAAAGTATAACAATTGGAATTTCGCAATTTAAATGAATCCGCAGGTATAGTTTATGAAAAATTTCCGACCATAGAATCGAACGGCCTTGCTAATTCGAATATTAATTAGCATTGTAAATTCCACTGAGACCGGTAATGAAAACCGACGTGGTATCACGATTGGTTCACCAACGGACTACTTTCCGCTTGTTAACGCTCGCGACTCGGCAATTGACCCTGGCGATTGATCGGAAAATAACAGAACTTTGAACTCAGGATTCCATGCGACTTTGGAGAAATATACCGTCAAGTATACTCTAGTTTTTCCATGATAATTTCATGGGATTATCAACAAAACGCGATATATAATGTAAAAATAAGAAAAAAAATCATAAATATAACATAGAAATGTATCATTATGTAGCAATTTATTTTGTATTTTTTAGTCCCTAATTTTCAATCGATTCTTTTCAATCGTGATGTAAAATCCCTTTGATTAGTTTCTTCCTCTCATTAGACGGTTATCTATTGTAATCGTACTTCACTTCGCTCGTTAGGGTGAAATAGAAATACGAGATTTCAGGGTATCGCGAAAGCTGTAGAACAGCGAGAAACACTACCGCGATTGTCATTCGACGTTAACGAGACCAAATTACTATCACGTGCGAAGAAGTCATAGGTCAGTGGCTTCTCTAGCAGGAAAACGTTAACGATAGCGTGCATTAACAATACATGGTCGCGAGATCCTTTGTGATCAATTGACGACAAACATCCTTGATACATTTTTATTATTACACATTATACTTAATTAATGCACACATTGAGATAGACGCTATAGACAGCAGACGCGTTACATGACGCAAGGCCAATAAAAACTGGACGTAATATTTCTGGCGACGGGCCAGTCGATAGTCCTTGCTGTAGAACTAGCGAATTAAAAATATCGGTGCGTCGGCTTTGTAACCCGAGATATATATGACTCACAATTTTGACGCTGATCTAAAAGAGATACGAAGCGTGATTCGATGCGAATCTAAAAGAAAAGTGGTCGGAATAGTTTTTTTTTTCGTTGGTATATATATTGATGTCGAAATAGTATCGACATGATTATTGCGAAAACCTCAGTCGTTGCAAGCAGTCGTTGCGACCAACAAGGTTGCTAATTAAGTTTCATGCGTACCGCCGATTCTATATCTGTCATTGTAACGTGACACTCACAATTGACATTCATTAAATTAATAGTTAAGTCGCGCACAGCGCAAAATGATAATTTATTACGAAATGTACCTCGGTACTTAATAAGTAAAATTAATAACAGTATTTATAGTATTTGATTAACAGAAAGACTACTTACGGAAAAAATTAAGATATTAAAATGTAAAAATTCTTGCTTATAAAAAAAAGATAAAATGCTAAAACATGTATATACGTCATAAATTAATGCATTGACTGTGATTAAGATACGCCACGAATACTCGCAGTGGAGTTGCAGTTCATATATATCGCGATGTACACGTGTTGAAAAATTTAGTCAGGCATAATGCATCATTTCGAATGCATTGGATAGATTGAGCTCTTTGATTTCAGTAAAGATGGTAGCTGTACCGGAAAGAGGATACTTCCATTGGATCGATTGGCTGGTGTTTGCACTTATGCTCCTCGTGTCTGCCGCAGCCGGCTTATGGCACTTCAGACGAGCGCAAAAGTCGAACACAGAGGACTACCTGCTTGGAGGAAGGAGCTTAGGACTCTTTCCCGTGTCCGCTTCCCTCGTCGCCAGGTAAGCTCGGCTCGCCATTCTACAGGATTTAAGACTATTAAAAGAAGAAAAGGAAATAAGGAATGGATGAAAAACGGCGGGGGAGAACGCGGAGGACTTAAAACGTGTTCCGAAACGTAACAGGAGAATTAAGGAATTCATTAACGTCGGGAACTGTAACCGTTAAGAAATTCCTTTTCGCTCGGCCTCGCAAATCCTTTATCTCGATTCAGAATGAAGGCTTCTTTTAATATTCGCGTATATGAGCAATATATGCTTATGTCAATTCTAGATTAACGTTACGTAAAAATTGACTTGTAGCTTATTGACGTTTGCCGTTTGATTCGGGTTCTCGATTGAATAGTCATGCAGAATATTTAATCAATTCCGATCGTAACTGTAGCTTCATATCAGGCGTGACGATTTTGGGCACACCGGCGGAGATCTACAACTTTGGCACGCAATATTGGATCACGATCATCTCGATTCTTTTCTCCGGCATCGTAGTCGCCACGGTGTACCTTCCTGTCTTCACTACCCTACAACTTAACTCCGTTTACGAGGTTCGTTCCTTTCATTTAATTCCGCTTGATGTGCCTCTACTAATGAGGCACAATTTTCACCATAAATATTCTCTCCTTTCAGTATTTGGAAATTCGATTCGGTCGAGCCGTGCGGATTCTGATTTCTTCAATTTTTGTTTTTGACGTGGTAAGTCTACATCCGACCTGATGCTTTCATTTCGACTATTTCGGAAAGTCGAGTGTATAACCGTGTTGATTTCAGGTTCTTTACCAATCGATCGTTGTCTATGTCCCCGCGTTAGCGCTAAACCAAGGTATTTATAGCCGTATTGCGCACTTTAACCTACTTATACTTTCATTAAGATTTTCGTTGATCCATTACAGTGAGCGGCATCAATATACATTTGATCGGAGGCATTGTATGCGTCGTATGTGTTTTCTATACCGTTTTGGTAAGTTGCGACTTTGTATCACCTAATTTTATTTTTATTTTTTTATTAATTTTGTTCAACGAATTAATTATCCTCTTCTGTCTCATCTGTTTCGTAAATGAAGGTGAAAAAAGATTGCTCGAGATTACTTGAAAGATCGTACAATTGTCATATGCACTTGAATGTTAACAAGAACGGTATACGCGGGGGGGGGGGGTGAAAACGGTCGTAGTGGTCGAGGAAACGGAAGCCTAAACTAATTTTCCGAGGGAGGCTCGTTCGCCAAATTCTCGCGGGATGGCTGGAGTTCCTCGGACACGGTCTACCGTAGGAAACAATTTTCAGTGGACAATGCCGCGAAGAATCTCACGCGAGAGCCTTAGTACTGGAAATGTTTATGGACGGAAACTGAAAGCCCGACAATAGCGCGGGGAAACAATGGCGCGGAGAACGTCGAGCGGATGTTATCGTAGCAGCGGATCACAAAGCCGGCGCTGAAGTGATTAATCGCGGGATCGCGCGCCTGTAATTATCCGAGCAATTTGTTGGATCTCGTATTAATGAGAATTTATCGTGGTTGAGTGGCTCTTTACAAATTTGTTTATTATACGTCGCTTGCGCACGCGCGAGCCTGCTCGTGGACTGTTATGCAATTGCAAACCCTCGAAAAAGCATATCGCCGCTATCGCATTCTTCAGAAATGGCTAACGTCGTCGCGAAAATATCTCTTTTTATCGGGAGTTAAAGAAAATCATTATCGCATGCATAATCATCCGAATCAAATGATCAAATTCCTAACTTGCTTCGACTCTTGTTGTTACAAGACAAGATAGAGTGATTAAACGTGTGGATATACGTACATGCAGATCAAATAAAATTGTTCCGAGAAATTCGAGAGAGTGTCTTCGCCTACTTATAAATACGACATTATTTCACAATAAACTCTTGTTTTTTAATGCTTATTAGGGCGGTATTCGAGCAGTGGTTTGGACAGATGCGTTACAAGTCGGCGTGATGATAGCGGCGGTTATTTCAGTTGCCGCTCTAGGGACCTATCAAATGGGAGGAGTGTCTGAAATTTGGAATAGGGCCACCGATGCCAATCGCATCGAATTTTTCAAGTAAGAATTCAAAGAATGTGATCGAGACTATCTTGCGTAAACATACTTAAATATTCTCTCGTATTCTCTTGCATTGTACAGCTTCGATCCATCGCCTTATACGAGACACACCGTTTGGACAGTACTGATTGGTTCTTGGTTGTACAGTACCGCGTATATCGCTGTCAATCAAACTATGGTGCAACGATACATATCGTTAAAAAGCACAAAGATATCTCAATTGTAAGTGAGTACACCGATTTGATTGATAACTTTTAATCATGTTAATTTTATGTTATAAGATTATTATATATACGCGCGCTTTTGTGTGTGTGTGTGTGTGTGTGTGTGTGTGTGTGTGTATTGTTCACATATTTGTATATTAATATAGTTAATATTCTATATTGATGTAGTTAATGTTGCGAATCTTTACACATCTCGATTGCAGATCCATTGCGATATTTACTGTCAGCATAATGGTGTTTATTTCAATATGCTGTTGGTGCGGACTAGTCCTTCTCGCTTGGTGGTCGCCACCGAAATGCGATCCAAGAGCTTCCGGCTTAATTACGGCCGACGATCAATTGTTGCCGGCTTATGTCATGGAGGTTGCCCATCATTTGCATGGGATACCTGGCCTTTTTATTTCCGGAATTTTTGGCGCGGCGCTCAGGTATTAAAAATCAAATTAAATTAAGATATAATAATCATTTGTTGAGATACCTTCGCCAAATATAATAATATTGCTTAAATAAATCAACAAATTTCGAATAACGAGATTTATAACAGCAATTCGTCTCAAAATAAATTTTGTTTAATAAAATTAATAAAATAAAACGGGCAATTTTTACGCGTCAAAAATCGACAGCAAATAAATAAAATTATTTATTATTTTTACCAAATTTTTCTGTTTTTATAATATAAACATGAAATAAAAAATAAACAAAAAGCTCACTTATTTGTTATTCCATTTGACGTGAGCCATTTGGCCGAATGAGAAAATTACAATTGTTGGTGCTCGTTTAATTGTTGATCTGTTGTTGGTCGCAAGAGAAAATTGAAATTCTTTTCCTCTCTTCCGTAGTTCATTATCAGTAGGCTTCAACTCGACTTCCGTTGTGATTCTGGAGGACTTTGTTAAAGGTTGCTTTAAAATGAAGCCCAACGATCGCTGTTCCACGATTTTCGTGAAAACCCTTATCATCCTGTTCGGTTTGTTGGCGCTATGTTTGCTTTTTTTGATCGAGAAACTAGGAGGGGTTTTAGCTGTGAGTATCTAGATTTTATGTTGTTATTCCATCGCAATCTATCTTAATACTTCAAAATATGCTGTCGTAATTTTTATTATCGCGATTCAGGTAACGGGTAGTTTGGCCGCCATCGCTGCCGGAACTTCCTTTGGCGTATTTACTCTGGGAATTCTGTTTCCGTGGACAAATTCTAAGGTATTAAACAAAATCTGATCGACTCTCTCGGACGGATAAATTATATTTTTCGAACAAAACTCTACTGTTTCGTGTGTATCTGTTTTTGTGCAGGGTGCCTTCGTTGGTGCCATTGCAGGATTCATAATGTCCGGATGGGTCAGTTTTGGTGCTAATGCGGCTATTGGTTCTGGTCTCGTGGTGCCAAAGAAATTACCAGTTCCACAGTGCGCGGGAAATGTCAGCCAACATTTTTTAAAACAATTCGAATGGCCCAAGTGAGTACTTTATTTAAATTAACACATCAAATTTTTCTCGTATCAATATCATTCTGATTAACTCGCGCGTGTTGTACAGCGAAGATGACGTCTTCCCATTGTATCGGTTGTCCTACCACTGGGTTGCCCCTATTGGCACGCTAGTCGTACTTGTGGTAGGTGGAATTGTCACCTGGGTGACAGGAGCGCGAGATCCTTCGTCGATCGACAAAAGTTTGCTCTCTCCAGTGATTCACAGGTAAACGACTCGTTTAGAAAACTTTTACTATAATTTTTATTACAACAAAAGAAACGTCACTTTTGATTTACAGGTGGTTACCACGACCAAAATATCCAAGAGAGGTGGATGAATCGTGTGGACGACCGGTATCAACCGATCTACAAGTATCGGCGAATTTATTATCGATTGTTCGCCGAAAATCGCAACCTGACATTCTATAGAACAGAACAAACATTCGCAAACATATTGTGATCAATCGATAGATAAATACGCATTACGAGATATTTAAATTCTTTTTGTAGGCATTTTATACCTAGGGAATTTTACCGCTTTTTCAAAGTATGCATTTACGAAACATAATATATTATATATATATATATATATAATGTACCTCCGATTATCAAAATTACGTTTCAATTTTGAATAATCGAACTAACTGAATCTAATGAATGTTTTACATTAGATACCAATTCAATGTACTTGGAGTCAAATGTGTAAAAGAGAAAATATAAAATTATATATTTTTGATATGTCAGTACATACTACAACATATGTACAACATATGCCATATATATCATAATAATATATAGATAATGCAAATTATTATATATATATTTTTTATAGAAATAATAAAATGCTTATTATTGCGATTATTCGTCATTTTGATTTCTGTCGAATTTTATCTTGGTTCGTTGATAAAGTTTGCAAAAGATAATTGTTTTTTGTTTTTTTTTCAATCATTATATGGTCGATTAAATGTAAATATTATCTTCGGGAAATGTATTTCAAAAATAATAGCCACGCGATCGAATCATGTACTCGTTATATTCAAGACACGAATTCGCTGAAAAGCCACCGCTAAATGATGCATTTATTTAATATCCCGATGAATCGCGTCGTTCGCACGAAAGAGCCAGGAATTTTTCGCACGGAGTCCATGCGTGATCGTCACGGGCAGCACGTCCTAAAGAAAATTGCGATTCGCAAGTTGCGTACAGGCTTTATTAAGCGCGCTTCATGCACCATTTGCATTCGTCTGGGCGGCTGATAGATTCGGAATTTCCACGTACGCCCTACGCGTGTGGCTTATATTATATCTATATATATACACACACATATATATATATATACACAAGATATATATATATATATATATATATATATATAATGTATTATATATATGCGCATGTATATAACACGGAGGAACCGGAGGAGCAGAGACGCGACGCGCGTAGACTCGCGCGCCCGCTTTGGAGACAGACCAACCGGGGGAGAGGGAGACAGGGATGGTCGGAAGAGACCCGGGGTTGAGAGAGTGAGAGTGAGAGAGAGAGAGAGAGAGTGAGCGAAAGGGGTAGAGTGGCTGAGGTGGCGGGTTACAGAGATGGATATAGACAGATAGAGGTGGATAGAGAGAGGTCGCGAGGCTTGAATGGGGCTAGTTTGAGATAGTTAGCGGGCCTTCAGGGGCACAATCGGCCGCGATTGGCGGGCCTACAATCACACGTCGCATTATATGTCCATCAGCACGGCGGATCTCGCAAATACGTTATAGCGCGAGCGAGCGAACACGCGCGCGCGCACACACTACGCAAGTCGTCGTCCGCTCGCCGCAAAAATGCTGCGGCGTGTGTTCCGCTTCGGCATTCGCCTTCTTTGCGAATATTTCTGCATTTCGGCTTTGTCCGTTTTATCTCTTTAAACGTTCTGAGAACACTGCAACTATTACTGTCGCCATGAAAATTTTGTTCTACGTACGTATTCGGTCTCGGAAGGACAGCTCGTGTTTGGCCAAAGTGGGCATTAGACAGCGATGAATCTAATAACAAAGAAAGAATAATATCTATTTTATTGGAACACAAGGTATGCAAAACGAATATTTTAATAGCTTGCTTTGCTGCACAATTTTGCTCCTACGCGGCCGTGGAGATACTTGCGACTCGCTGGAAGCGGCGGTTAATAAATTCTTAATATACGGCAATTCAGCTTTTTCGGGCGCGCCGATGACTTCGTTCGTCCGTCCGAGGAAAATGTTCCGCTCGAGAGACGCAGACACGGGACATTCGTCCGGGGGCGAGTTGTCCCGTATGCAAATTCGTTTTATTGTCGCGGCACAGAGAGCGTAGTCGAGCAGACGTGGACCCATGTAAACGGTCATCTTCGCTACCCGCCTTAATTTCATTCATGCCCCGCTACCCTCCGGCCACCCCTCTCTCACCGCCCCACTTTAATTACTGCCAATTGCCCTTGCCGCACGCGAATTATGTCATTTCCACATGAGCAGCACTTTAGCGAAATTTTCGCTAGGTAGTCAGAAATGAGACGACTGCAGTCTCGTTCTCGTCCCGCACTCCCCCGCGCGCTCTCGCGTTCCCTCTCGTCCCGGTGTAGCGTAATAAGGGAATAATTAATTAACTCCACTCCCCCGCGTTTCGTTTTTGCGCTTCGACCCTCGACGGAATAAAATTTACGTGTGTCCCGCGTATTAATTAAATGTCGTATCTTTTTCTCTCTCCTCTCTCTCCTTCTCTCTCTCTCTCTCGTTTTTTATGGAAGCGCAGCGCGCAATCGTAATGGTTGATTGAAAATAATCTGAGGAGCGAGCATAAAAAACGCATTATATTGTCAACAATGAGAATGTGCAGGGTTATAAAATGTTCTTTTGGGCGGCAACGTCGTGGAAACACCGACGAAATATCTGTAGGTAAACGGAGGAGACCATTTGTCCTTCTAATTCAATTATTCCTTGTTACAGTCGTATCTGCAGAGGAGCATCCCTCTTCTACTCGAGTTATTAGGCGGCGGGAGCACGAGCGAATTCCCAGCGAGCGGTCAGCGGCGACATTCCGGCGTTGCTGCCAGCACGAATGAAAATTTCAGTCTCTCGATTCCCTCCAATTCGAAGGATCGCGGAGATCCTTCGGCTACGTCGATTTCCCACGCCGTCCCCTACGGGGTTCGGTTATATGGATCGTCGCGTATCTACACATTGACGGGGGAGGACGGGCGGAAAAATAAAGCCCCCCTGTGCCGAGAGGCTAGACACGATTCCGAAAGTGAATCACGCGAATTAATCTTGCGGAAAATCAGGTCAATCGTGAGATCCCGACGGATCGCTCTGCGCACTTGTTGTTACTCCAGTTAAATTGATCGCCGAAGGAGAAGTCGAATACGTTCGTCAATTCAGTGGCCTTTCTTGGTGGCGCGACCATTTTCGCACTGAAACTCGTTACGCGTTGTCATGTAATTAAGTCACTGTTTCATTGTGTTATCTCGTATTCCGTTCTATATTTAACGTGTATGATATATATCTTTTTTTTTTGTACCACATTTTATACCACATAGTTTGTGCTTAGCTACGAGAAAGATTCTTTAATGACAACACCCGTTTGTTTTTTTTCCAGCGTCCCGACGACATGTTTCGCTTAATTGCGCGGGTAGTTGTAGCACATCGTGTAGCACATTAGCGGATACGAAGGCACGGCGTTATCACACCTGGGCGATTTTTCTCCATTAGCGGCATTGTTTCCGCACGAGTGTGTCGCCGGCCCGACCGCGCGAGTCACGTGAAACTGATTTGTAGCTGGTGCCAGGTTTATAGAAAAAAAAACACAGTAGACTTGCAGCCGCGGCGACGAGGCAGAGCCTTGGTACCGGAGTTGTTACTTGCTAAGCAGAAGTTATCTCGCAGCTGAGCAGAAATCACTGATAGTGCAAAAAATTGAAGTGTATAATTGGATTACGTGATAATTCTCAAGATTATGAAGTAATATTGACATTCAAATGGATTATTTTTTGGATTCATCCGAAAAAGAGCCCGTCGACACGGCCGTTATCATTATCTCTGCTTAGTACGATTATCAGCACGGAACCGGACTCGGCAAACGAATTCCGACCGTTATCTTATACAAGGTGTCTCAACTTAATCTTTCCACGTAATCATTTTCGGAGCAAAAAGTTACTTGAAAAAAAAATCGTCTGAGTCGATTATACTGACGATCGAGTTTATAGTCCGGAATATTTGCGCGCAAATATCTCTTGAGCATGGCAGCGCGATAAAGGATTTCCGAAGGTAGTTTAATTTGCATCAGGCCGGCCGGTTGTATTAAAGCGACTCGGATAAGAAAGGATTTCGGGCGGGCGGGGGAGGGGTGGGAGGGAGTGCACCATTAATTCTCACGGAGAATCCCGCCTCGCTCTTCTTTTCCGACGTTACGGCAGTTAGTCGTCACTTAGCTAGTTACTCGCTTACTTAGTCCACTTATTTTAATCGGGCGCTCGTCCGCGCCGCCTCAACCCGATTCTCCGCTTGTTTTTACGCCTTATCCCTTAAGGCTAATTCATTAATTAATTCCGTTAGTACCCTACCTACCGCCGCTGCCCTCCCCTCTCGCTCGCCTCCTTTCCCCTCCCCCCCGTCTCCTTCATCTGTGCTCCACCGTCCCGCCCGATTCTCTCTCCCCGTTGATGCAACTCCAGCGAACCTCTTGAAGCACGGGTGGGTGCTCACTAATTAAAGTAATTACTAAATAAATTGCAATTACACTAATGGATCGAGCACGACGACGGATACACTCGTCAGGAACTGTCGCCGAACTTTTCCCCGGTTATGTTGCCGATTACGAGATACCTGCCGATGTCGGTATTCCACTCAGATGTGGTCGTCCTCGTCGTCATCGTCGTCGTCGTCGTCGTCGTGACCCTCCCTCAGGTCAGGTAAAATTATAGCTTTATCGTCGTCGCTAAGTCTTTGCGCGAGTCACTTTGCATCGCGAGGGCGAGGATTTTTCGTGAAATTATTATGACGGAGACAGTAGGGACTTATCATTTATACATCATTCGCTAGCCGATCTCTTTCGTTCAGTATAAATCTTTCAACTCGCACCCAGATATCGGCGATAGATCGCAAAATACGTTTCCATTATTATGACGTAGAGCGTGACACTGCTCTATGAAATGATAAAGGAAGTAATAAAATATTTGGAAATCGCTGCGCGGGTTTGATCGCACACTCGGGCGCCGAACGCGCCGGCAAACACAGATAGTGCGTCAACGTGTTAATGGGGCTATCAGTCAACATACACGTTTGAGTGACGTCTCAATCAAACACCAACGCGTATTTTGAATTCGCGTTACTCCGACCATTCCCGATTTCCCGTCGCGTTCGATTTGGCGCCCGGTAACGTTCCTCGAGGACGAGAGGGAGTTCCTCCTTCTGTGGCTGCTGCTCGATGGATGTGCATCAACATAACGATCCTTCACTATACGAAAAAGTAAATCCGAAATCGAAGGAGAATAAAACTTTCTTGCTCCGCTCGTATTCCCCATAAAAAAAAAGAAAATAATTCTCTGCATCGAATTTGTGATTAGCGACGCTTTCCTTTTCTCACAGCAAAAAAAAAAGAAAGAAAACGAAGCAGCACGCGCGCAGGTGCGCGAACGCACACCTGAAAGTATGTTACGTCGATCGAACTCGACGATCGCAATTATCCAGTAGGTAACGATTCCCGAAGGGCCGCCGCTAATTAATATAACCGGCGACAATTCATTCGCGATTGACAGGAAAATGCGTCGAGCGCGC